GCAAACTGTTTTCACGTTACCTGCTGCAAGTCCAAAGTGGCTACGTTTTACTAGCGCTTACATGGCGACAAAAAATGTGCTTTGAATGTCATAAAAGCCTTAATGTAAATATATTTCAATGTTTCATTTAATTTGTTTTTTTTTAAGCATAAATGTTCTATAAATATTAAATAGAATATAGTATATTGTTATTTTATCTTACTTATTTTAAATTTAATTCTAACTTACTGCTAAAGTTCAAATAAATCATAAAATAATACTGTTTTTTAATTTATGCCTGAGAAAAAATCTATAAAATGCAGTACATGTATTAATTAATATAAATATCTATATTTTAAATTATATTTTCTATATATGTTTTATTTTCTTTAGTAATAATTCACTACATTTAACAATTAAAATGGTTTCAGAGTGGTATAGAAACGCTCACCTATTTTCCTTTGTGCAACTGCTATTTATAGCATGCCAAACTTTTGCATTGTGCGGAAAGTTGGGATGTTCGTCCGATTTGGAAAATGTTTGGCTGCGAAGGCCGGGAGTTTTAATTAGGGCTTGCTATAAAGTGCTCGAAAAGCACCGAGGATCATTATGGGACTTGAGGTGTCGGTTGCAGACGATGCTCTGACCATTCGAAGGAGAAGAAGGAGGAGGCCAGGCAGGCAGGGAGGGAGGCTCTCATCCTGGAGGAGTTTTCCCATGGCTGCTCATCGCTTATCCGCCGTGTAATTTATGCGTATTAATTTCATTTCTGGCCTATCCGGCTTCCTGTCCCTGCAGGATGATGATGGCACAATGCAAATTGCTCGCCTCCTTTTCTGCGGCTCGTTATGCGTTTTGAATCGGCCCTCGTTCGATGTCCTCCGTCCTCCGTCCTCCATCCTCCACCATCCATCCTCCGATCTCCGTCGGTTGTCCTGCGGTCCGGTCATTGCATCCCACCAGGCTTATTGACCGGCGGCACAAAAGATACGGCGTGGATGCAGGCAAATAAAGGACTCCTCGCTCGCGTAACGCTCCTTTTGCGAGGACAATGGGAATGCAGAAGTAGAATGCATCGCAGGATCCGCTCAATCCCTGCGCCATTATTCGCATTATAATGCCATTCCGATGTGTATGTAAATAAACAACGGCAAAAAGTGGAAAAAATAAGCAAAGGAAAGTGGAAGGAAGGCTCGGCCAAGGCAGCCGCTTGTGTTCTAATTGCCGGCAAGGACCTGCCTGGATCCGACTGCCTGGCTGGCATCCTGCTAGGCTGGACATGCAATTGCATTGCAATCGCTGCCGCTGCCGCTTCTGCCACACTGCCACTGCCACTACCACTGCCGCTTTTTTGGCATTGTTCCAGGCATTCGCTTAAGGGTTGAGTTTCAAGTTCTGCACTCGTCGGGGTTATCGCACGATTACAAAGGATTTCCTACTCTCTGGTCAGCTCTGGCCTCAGATTCGGATTCTGATTCTGATTCAGATTCAGATCGAGATCCTTAGTCCCCCGATTCGGCGGGTACAGCAATGCGAAAAGGCGAAACTTGCAGCGGAAGTCGTCGCACGAACTGAATTTCATCATCATCAGCTGCCCCAAAAACGGAGTGCAGAAGGCGATTCAGTTCGGTTCTGTTCGATTGAGATTTATCTAGGAGATACTTTATGCAGCAGATGCTGCATAGTTTGCTGCACATTAATCACTGCTCCCTCTGAAAGTTTGACCTCTTGGCTGCGATGCGTGTGAAATCGACGTCGCTCATCTGCTGCATCCTGCCGCATCCTGCTCCATTCATGCCACTCCTTTTCGCTTTTTCTAGTCGCCTGCACAAAGAGAAATTCAGAACACTGGGCCATAATTCTTCTTCAATAGGAGGTGGTGGGAATACCTGGTTATTTCGGTGAGTTATGGCCGAAAGCTTCCAGTTGGTGGCCTCTTTTTCGCAATTTTTCGGTTTTTAAATGGCTTGGCTTGTTGGCTTCAAATTTATAGGCTGGAGGAACAATATTCCACCGATACTATTTTGCCTAAAAATTCTAGTCAATCCTTATCAAATTTTACTTGCTTCGAATCAAATCTGGAGAAACCATATTTTGTTATTGCATGTCAAAACAATTTGTTACCAATTTAAGTAAGTACTGCATCAGGTCAATCCTTATAAATTTGTTAGCAAATTGCCTATTTAAGTACTGCATTAAGAGCTTGCATCTCTTTGAGATTGAATTTTTTTAAAAATTGTATTTTATTTTAAAATTACTTAACAACAGAGAACTCCCATGATCGTTGTACTAAACTCTTTGCTCTTAAGAAATTCATTTGTATTGATTTTAAATAGATGCCATGAAGTATACTTTTTAATAGACTCTTTAATAATTTAATAGAATCTTTAATGGGTGGGAAAACCCAGTTCGGGTGTACTGAATTGTTGTTAAATTTTTTTGTTGTAGTTTGGATAACCCAGATTTGGGTTTTGGTTTCAAGCAATTTGCTCATAATTTGTTTTTGCTCGGACACTGCGATCCTTAATACATAATTCAGTGATTGTGGTGCTAGTGCATAAGCAATTTATTGAACTCTCATTCGAGTGTTTGCCAGTGTTTGTGCGTGTGTTTGACCTTCTGGCCTGTCATTGACCCCGCTGCTGTGGTGTGAGGGCAACTGCATCGCGGTCACAGGAGGAAGGAATCAAGGGAAGTGGAGGGGGGAGGGGGAACGGGAAAGCGGTCTCATTATACATAATGTACAGGCAAGTCCTGCGGCACTTAGCAGCAGTGGCAGTGGAAGTGGCATAGGCAGGAGGCAGAGGCAAAGGCATTGGCGGTGGCAGTGGCAGCATGTGCTGCCAGTCGCGTTCCCATTCGGCCTTTTTTTTTTTAGCTCGCAAATTATTACAACACGTACACTTGAAACTTAGAATGCACTCGCACAACACAACACACACGGCACAGCAGAGTAGTAGTACTCACAACACACACGGTGGCACACTCGCCTGCACTCGAAAATACTCACTCGGCCGTACTGACCTATTCCTCTGAAAACGCTCGTCGGTCTGTCTGCATTTGCAGTTACCAGTTACCATTTACCAGATACCAGTTAGCAGTCAGCAGTTGGCAGTCAGCAGTTCACAGTTTGCAGTTCGCAATTCACAGTTTGCAGTCTGAAGTCTGCAAATGGCTCAAGTAGGGAACATTGCGATTCTCGGAAGCAAGCCAAGCGTAAACGTTTAAAGTTCCCTTTTGTTTTTGTCCTCGGATTAAACGTGGGCGGGATGCAGGGGGGCGGGGCACGGCCATTTAATGGGCAGGATAATAAATGGGTTGCCTAGGAGCTCGCCGCTGATACGCATACGTATGCCTCACTGTAGTACTTATATCTGGCTCTCGCTTTCTGATGAAGCGCTTGACTAAATGTGGTTAAAAGATCCGAAGCGGAAAGCCGTTCATCGGAAGCTTTTCTGTTCTTACGTTTAAAAAAAGCATCGTTTTAAAATTTTTTTTTTTTTGGAAAAGTAATCTAATGAAATAGGTATTAAAAGAAATATTACCTATATGCTCTGTTCCTAAATGGTAAATTGCTTGCAAAGGGCTTAGTATCCTGAAGTGTTGAATATTTTGTTACACATGAATAGCCAAGAATTTCAGATAAGATATTAAAAGTTAAATATATTTTCTTGCATGAAGATGAGCAAATACTATACATTTAATATATTTTTATGCCCAAAGCGTATATATGTATTCCTATATTTATATTTACCCAACTTATCACTTGTTCACCTTATTAGATCTCACACTGAGATAACTCAAGTATAACATGTTGCTCTGCTCATAATACTTACTACTTCTTGATTATCATTAGGGATTGCTGTTGTGCAAGGACACGCTAATCTGCAGCTTAATTTAATCTCACCCTCTTGCGACGCATCGCATCGCTTCTCAACTTACTGCAGCGTGAAACTGCAGTATCTGCGGATTGCATCGCGTTGCCAAGTGAAGCCCGGTGCATTTTATGCAAATATGATCTCCCGATCGAGATTAGTGACACCTGATTGCATTGCATTGCGTTCTGGCGTTCTGGCGCTATTGCGTTCTGGCGTTCTGGCCGCAACCTCTGCACAATCTCTTACAAAATGTTTTAACACCTCGTTGGGCTTACAAAACCGTGCGATTGGGAATGCTTCTTGGATTCCGCACCTGAAAATCGATATTTGGACAGAAGGTTAAAGCCGGGAGAGAGTGAGGCAGGGAAGAAAGGAAAAAAAGTAAAACAAAAACTGGCTGCCAACACCTTGGAGCAGACGGACGGCACTTAAGGCTGGGGTATTGAATGTAATTAAAAGGAGTTGGATTACACGTGTTGGAGGGGGGTTTTCTTAGAAGGGAAAAGCCGGGGGGTTTGTGGGGGACCCCTCATGAAAGGAGCTGCCTCTGCATGCAAAACAACAACAGCGAGGAGGGGCTGGAAAAAAATAAGAAACGCAAAGGACAAATGGGGAATGCAAAGGGGAGACCCACGGAGTTCTTCTTTTCACTTAAGTGAAGCTCGGGCTCTGGCTCCGTTTTTTCTCTTCTGACTGAGCGACTCTCCAAAATGCACTTTAAATGGCAGTTTCCGGTCACAAATACACACATACGTATGTATATACATATATGTATGTGTAATGTGTGGCATGTATGGGAAGAGGAAAACAATGCAAAACGCCAAGGAGTCGCGCTGTGCCAGGAGCAGGAATGCACCGCTTGGTACATACTGTACTCCACCCCTCGAAAGCGGCGCTGTCATGTCCGCCGTCATCGTCCTTATAGCCGTCATCCTTGCCGCTGTTGTTCACATCCATCCATCCATCCTTCCATCCTTCCATCCTTCCATCCATCCATCCACCCCCTCTCCTCCTCTTTCCTTACCATCCGATTCCGCCTCCTTGTGCTTATCCTTCGTGCTTAATGCAGTCTAAGCTTTTCATAGGCCTACTACCCCTTGCAGTTCTTGCATTTGCACCGGGGTTGCTGTGCGAAGGGATTGCTTGGGATTGTTGTGAAAGGACTCTCTGCATGCAGTCGCCTCTTTTTCTTTTTATTAATAATTCTGCGGCACATTAGCATAACAGATTAATAATTCTCGCATTTTTCGCTAGAAGCGCAGCTTTCTCAGCTTTTTAATCGCCCGCTCGGCTTCGCGACCCACTTGCTTGGCCACCCGCTCGCTTTCTCGACCAACTTGCTTGGCCACCCGCTCGCTTTCTCGACCAACTTGCTTCGCCACCCGCTCGCTTTCTCGACCAACTTGCTTGGCCACCCGCTCGGTTTCGCGGGCCACATCCTGGGCTGCCCTCTCGGTTTCACGGCCCGCATGCTGGATCGCCCTCCTCACTTCCCGCTCGGCATGGTGAGCAGCCCTGGAGACCTCCCGCTCGGTGTCCTTCTCCGCCCGTCGCACTTCCCGCTCGATGACCTTTCCCAAATTTCGATTCTTCGTATCTTGAATTGGGAAATGCATACGGACGTGGTTGCCTTCGTGCGGGAAGATATCCACGTGCATGTCGTGAAGGTCACCATCCCCATCCTTGTGGAAGGCCACCACGACGACGGTGTTGTCGTCCAGGATCTGGATGAAGTCCTCGTAGTTCGTGGGCTCACACAATCTGCCCAGGTACTCCTTGATCTGCTCGTTGGTCGGACGCTTCTCGGGATCTTCGTCCATGTAGCACTCGAACAGGTGCTTGATTCCCTCCCAGCACTTCAACTGCACCTCCACCGGAGGGAGCAGCTTGCTGTTCCTAGTCACACACAGTTCGCCAAGGTACTCCTCGATCTTTTGGGAGGTGGGCCGCCTTTCGGGATCGTGATCCAAGCAGTTCTTAATCAGCATCTTGATCCCCTCCCAGCAATCGGGTCTCAGTGCGTCCATTGGAAGGGGTTTGCCTGTGGTACATAAGGGAGGGAGGGTCAACAAAAATAAACTAATAACAATGATAATCATTATTGAATAGGATAATAATATTAAATTATAAAGCCAACACTTAACATAATTGTATATCCTAAATATAAATAGGAAAAAGTTTATCTATTAATGGATTTAAAGAGGAAAAGAGTCTTAAAAGAAATACATGATTCTAAAACTTAAATGAATGCTGATTGTTAATGAATTTTATTTTTAAAGTAAAAAATATATGTGTGTTTGTAGAACATAGAAAATAATAAGGATATTCTTCTTAGGTATTCTTCTTTAAACACTAACCATATCCTAATTTAGTTAAATACCCTGTAATAACAAATAAAAAATATTTAAAGAGAGGACTTCTGACTTACCCTTTGCAAGGGCATTCAATATAGCGAATTTATTGTAGTTTTCCAAGTGACTATAGGGCAGCTGACGGGTCATCATCTCCCAAAGCATGACTCCAAAGCTATAGACATCGCTTTTGACGGTGTACTGCCTATATTTAAATGCCTGTGTGTGCATGAGTCAATGACAATGAGTCAATGGGTTATCTAAGCAGGGGAACTCCCCTTTTTCACTCACCTCTGGAGCCATGTACCTGGGAGTACCTCGCATATCTGACCTGTTATTGGCCCCATCCGTTGCAATGCCAAAGTCGCAGATCTTTAGTTTTTCGAGCTGATCATCCAGCAACATGTTCTCCGGCTTGACATCGCGGTGCACCACCGGAGGATCCCTCGAATGCAGGTGGGCCAAGGCCTACATTTTAAAAAAACAATATATATTAGGTATTATATCTAAGAAAAACCAGGATTTAAAACCTGAGGGATTTGTTAATTAATCTAAAAAAAAGGAATTACGTTTGAAGACATTTCTTACTAGGAGAGCTGATAATTGAAAAATAAGATTAATCCTCGTTTTAATGGACGTTTTAATGAGAATTTGGGTGAGATTTCTGTTGAGTTGTAATTTACCTCTATTATTTACATAAAATGGGGAATACCAAATCACTGCTTACCTTCGCACATTGGTAGGCCCAACGCAGGGCCTGCTCCATGGAGAACTCCCTGTTTTTATCGGTGTAAAGGAAGTCGTGGAGGGAGCCCTCCTTCATGTACTCCATCAACAAATAGGTGTTCTGGCCGTCGCTGGCCACTCCATATATCTTGATGACATTTTCGTGCTCGATCTGCGTCAAATGTGTGAATTCCCTTTCTGCACTCTTCTTGAGTGACTCATCTGCATGGGAAGACACCTTCACCGCGATTTCTTTGTCCTTCCAGGTGGCCTTCCTCACCTCTCCACCAGCTCCACCTCCGAGAATCTGGCAAGCAGGCGGGTAGGATTAATGCTGGCCAGGACTATTTCTAATTTCAAAGGGTTATTTACCTGACTCAGCTCCAACTCCTCAACGTTCACCTTCTCAGCCATTTGTAGTTAAGCGTACGATCAGCTTGAAGCACTTTTAGGCACTGAAGAGCTTGCAATTTTCTTGTTCGTATTTAACTGCTAGTTAGGCGAGATAAAGACCGCTTATCTGTGTCCGGTTTGAAATCGAAACCCCCTAGAATTGAATCGGAACTTATCAGCAATGCGTTTTTTTATGATTTGATATAAAGATAAATTAAGGTAATCATTTCTCCCATATCTTTTACTTGCAGTTTCCCACACCTTGGGTCGCGAATCATATCGGACCTTCAGCCCAGAAATGTATTCCTCATTATCCAGCCCATTGGGACAGCATGGAACTGGTGAGTGCTTTAATTTTTTTCATGTGGATTAAATTGTACCTAAAAATAAAACATTAATCGTGAATGGAGATGAGAAATTAGAAGAGTAGACTGGAGAAATAGAAGTTATTTAAAGGAATCTTATACTTGGAAAAAATATGAAATAATTATACTGGGCTTTTCAATTATTTACCATAAATTAATGTTGGTAAAGATTAAACCTGTGAACTTAGAAAGTTAATAAGATTATTACATGACAAACTCCTAATTTTCTTACCATACAGATTTCCCTTCCCCTTTCCGCATTTAAATTACTTCTTTAATTTATTTTAAAAAGGCTTCTGCTGCTGAAGTAGATTGCTTAGACCTCCGATGGGCACTTCAAGGCCCCTTTGATGGGCCAGCTTAGAGAGCAGTTTCATGCTGTTTATATTGGCAGACCTTTCCATCTGGATCTCGCATTACCAGCGATGCCGTTGCCTGCTTGAATTACACGAGTGTCTACGGTTACATAAAGCGCCTGACAGCAGTTGCTCTCCATTAGTTTTTTGCCTGCGGCCCGAGTTCCTTGCACTCCTTTCGTTTTCAGCCAGCCAGCCAAACAACCATCCAACCAACCAACCATCCAACCAGCCAGCAAGCCTTTGCCAACACATTTGTTGGTGTAGGTCCAGTTCCAGTCGCAGTCGCAGTCCCAGTCCCGATAAAAGTCCGGGTCCCACACCCGACTTATGTAAACCACATGCCCACTTCACTTGGCAGGCTGCCTGCCTCAATGCTTGCTTATGCTGCACGCAGAGAAATAAAGTTCACTTATATATGGGGTAGATAATTGCAATCAAAATAAATACTATTTTTTTAATTGTAATAAGTTGATACTAAATAGACATACCATTCTCTTTTGCAATTATTCATAAATAACATTTCACAAAAACAATGCCTTTAAATGGTAGATTTTGATAAAAACAGATACTACCATTTCGAAATTTTATTATAATAATATAAAATTTATAAGCTTCATAATTTTTATCACAACTTAATATCCTTTAGCAGTTTATACTACATAGATTAATATATGATATCTATCATATATCATCAATATTTATCATCTATCAATATATTATCATCTATCATTCCCTAAAAGAGTATTTTAAAATTTTATTGTAAATATAAAAGAAGAATAAGCATCACAATCATAATAAAAATAATATATATAAATAATATCCTTAAGCAAAATTGTAATGTAATATAATATTAATTAACATCACAATTTCTATCATAATTGAATATCCTTTAGCAGTTTAAACTTTATAGATATAATTCCTTAAAAAAGTATTTTATACCCGTTATGCATAGATCAAATCTCACTTTTATTATACCTTAACAAACCTTTGTACTTTTTACTAAATAAATTCAGCAATCCCTCTTACGATTTTAATTGCTTGTATCTCAACATGAAGTATTTCTAAACGCAAATTTATTTAAGGAAAACCTTAATTCAATCTAGATTATTCCACATCCCGTTCTACGATTTAATTGTAATTGCAAGAATTTCTATCTAAGCTAGATACATTTCATGTTGTCTTCCCAGTGTAGCTAGTTCGTTTGGATGGTAGAGTGGAGAGGGCCCCAGTGCGTTTACATAATGCAAATGCGAGTACATAGCACTTGAGCATGCTCTTCGCGCCACGTTTCGCATATTTGCCGGCTGCATGTGTTCTGGACTGGGTTTTCCTGGGCTTTCCAGGGCTTTCTGGCTGTGCCACCGTTCTGGTTAGCCCTTTGCCATGTCAGCACCTCGCAGCGTCATTTTTTCGACTGCGGAATTAATGGGTTAAGTAAATAGCCATGTAATATGTTGCAATGCCGTAGAAAGATGAAAGGGGAGAGGGGAAGGGAGGGGAGGAGAGGGGCTTTTATGGTAAAAAGGACTTCAGTGGCAGAAGCTCGGATGTCGATGCTGATATCCTCCGGCCGGCATTTTCCTTCTCATTACGGAGCCTCGTTTTCACTGATTAAGCAACCCAATGGTTTATTAACCTTAAATTTTAAATATTTATTTTACGAACTTGGTGTCCCATAAAAAATTAAAATATATAAATAACTCTATAATTAAAATAAAACTTAGCAAATTACTCCTTTGTCAAGAAAAGGTTTTTAAAATTAATCTTCAGAAGAACCAACTGAAGTATATAAATGAATACAGAAAATTTCTAAAAACAAATCGTCACATAATTTTTAAGAGAAACTACCTTGGAAAGTTCTAGTATTTTAATTTAACTTTATTTGGAAAAGTCCTTGTACATTTTCTTAAAGTTCAATCAACCCAGCAGCAGCAATACTAATCCACCTCAATATGAGAGTAGAAGCTGTGTAAAAGCAAAAAGCGACAACATCTGAAACGTGATTCATATGGGCAAGTTGCACCTTGCCAAAGGTAAAGGAAATGTAGGTGAAACATTTCGCATTCATTTTGGCGGCGACAAAAACCGCGTTGCTGCACTTTAACGGCGTTCAAAGTGCCCGTAAACCGAAAGCGAACAGAAAGCGCTGTGTTGTCGTCATGTCGCCATGTGTGCTTGGATTGCAGATTGCATTTCAATGGGTCTCCCTCGAAATCCTGGCCTGCATCTTTCCTTTCCCGGTTTCCCAGGCTGCGCCATGTGTGCAAGCTGTTGTTGTTTTGATGTTGCTGCTTCTGCTGTTTCAGCGATGTTGCTGCCGGGCGGCAACGCATTGCATTGCTCGTTGCAAGGGTCGCCGTTTGGGTCTTTTGTTTTAGGAGAAAAGAAACGAAAAAACGCGGTGGGAAGAACTCGCCCCATGCGATGGCAAAAGGCAAAAGTAGGCCAAGTTAAAATTGATTTAATGCGTTGATTGCGTGGACCGTCGGGCTTCGTTGCAATTGCCGTTGCCGTTGCAGTTGCAGTTGCAGCTGCGATTCTGATTCCGATTGCGAATGCAGTTGCCCAGATTTATGCCGCGTCAGCTGGACCTTGTTTTACTTTCAATGGATCTTAATCTTCGACCACGATCCGTTTGCCTGCGATCGAACTGACCCAGAAACCCTCTTCAAAAATAGGGGGCAAACAACGGGGCGTATGCGCGATGTGCGATGTGTAAAAGCTGACATTGACCCAGGACCTTCTGCCAACTCATCGCCACCCACTTTGTTGCGCGTTCGTTAAAAATAATTGCCGCGCCCGCTTGCTGTGCAGGTTGCGTGTCAGAAGTTGTCCCCATCCTTTGGTGAATTTTCCCTTGGCTTGTTGATTTTCTCGCCGGCAACGTCAAGTGGCCCCGTCGCCAGTTTCCTTTTGACAGCTAATTGGTGAAAAACGTTTGGAAATTCGGGCGCCTTCGTCTTCTGTGTTTATTCGTTGCCTCGGCAATCGCCTCGAAGCCTCGAATCGTCGAATCGAAGGGTCCTTGGCGCAGGATGCGCGGCACAAAGGCGGCATTGTATTTTAACACCTTCATCCAATTGCCAGCTTTTTGTTCTACTTCCTCGCATCGCATCGATCCTGGCCGCTGTCAAATGCGTTACCCCATTCCCATTCCCGTTGCCCTTCTGTCCCTTCTTCTGCCGCGGGCTTAATTTATGGACTTTGGCCATTTGCCGGCGCATCATTCTGCCCAGTTCTTTTTTTTCTCTTTTTTTTGCCTCGGCTGTGTAGCTGCTTCATTTGAAAAGTGACGACAAAACATTCCACAATATGACAAAAAACGGAAAGAAAGAGAAATCCTTTTTGCAAAAGAATCAAATGCAAAAAAAAAAAAAAAATAGGAGGAGAACGCCATCGACAATTTAGATAAATTTTCCCACCAGCCATGGCCATAAAAACAAAGACCGCGACCCGAGAAGATCAGCGAGGGGTGCTCCTCCTCGTCGCTCTCTCGATTTTCCTTCGGCGGATTTCAGGGTGTCCAGGCCACGGGTGCGGTCATCATACTCATCCTTGTGCCCATGCCCATTCCCTTACCCCCTTGTTACCCCCTTTCCATTTATAATCACGCTGTGCTCGATATCGAATGATAAACTCCTGGCCAGAGTCGTCGCATAAAGATGATAGTGTGCCACGGTGGTGGTGATATGATGGTAATAGTGTGGTGGTGGTGGTGGTGCAGCAGCAGCAGCTTGCTTGCCTCCAGCTTCTTGTGTGTGCTCAACGGCTCAGCGCATATCCTTCAGGTACAACTTACTCATATATCACAAAAGGATACTGCGCTCCTCCCGTTGTGTGTGCTTTTCTGCTTAGCTTTTTGTCTTGTCTGCTGCGTGGTCAGCTCTCTGGCTATTATCCCCCCTCCCCTCTCCCTTCTCCTTTACCCAGGATCCTGCTCGTCCTGCTGGCCGCTCGAAGGTGACACCGTGGCACAGACAATGGCCAAAGGAGGAGACACCGATGGTCAAGCGACCGCCTCTTGCAGCGATTCCGCAACCAAAAAAAAAAGCACACACAAAAAAGGAAACGGCCAGCGAAAAAAAATTAGACGATACGAACCAGTCGCCTGGCCAAATGCAAAAAACACATAAAAAGAAGTACGCAAATCAAAATCAACTCATAAAAAACTTAGTTTTATATGTGGGTCTGCATTAAAAATGCAAATGTCGCATTGAGTTTCCTTCCTCGCTCGCTTTTTTTTCTCTGCTCATCGTCCTCCTCCTGCGATGTCCTCGCTGCGGCTGGTCATCCACTTCCTGTCCCTGTTTCTGGGTTGCCATTTAAGATTTTGGGTAAACAACGCT